CGCGTCCCGTCAGGAGACCTTCAGGAAACAGCCCCCAGTGCCCCCAAGTCAGCCGGAGAAACCCGCTGCCCTTTCATCCTGCTTGATATCTGACCAAACATCGAATTATGAAACGAGTAAAAATTAATCCGACGCATTAGTTACCAGCTCCCCCCCCCCGCTCCCAGCCAGGAGCACAGATTTCCCCACCTCACCTAAACCCCTGATTCTTCCCTGCAATAAGGCCCCAGCCTGAAACGGAGCCCAGGGTTAATTAGAGGCGTCCTGTCAGACTTGACTTGAAATTGAAAGGAAAATGTTTAAATATTTATGAATTTGACATTTACAGTCGGATGTCTTTTAAAGCAGAACACCTCTCCCTGTGCTGGTTGGGGCTGCCATGGTGCGCGTGCCTGGGGTGGAAGGGGAAAAATAGCTGTTGCATAACAAGAAAAACAAATCACCTGCTCCCCCCCCCCCGGCTTAACAAATAAATAGACCACATAAATTACACGTAATTAAATATTAAACTCAGCTACATGTAACTATGCATTTTTAAACTTTATATAACAGAATATATTGACATTCCTCTGAATGATTTTCTCCTTGGAAAATTGTGTAGTATCACAGAGTCCCAGTGAAGGAAAACCAATGAATGCCTAAATGGATGGCTTAGGAAGTGACTCTAAATACGGAGGCTTTGGAGATGTTCAGCCAGTCTTTACTTGCTTTGAAACGGCCCGGCCTGAGCTTAAATGCTAGAAGGCAAAGAGTTACCCTGTCTCAGAACAACACTACACCTACCACTTAGACTCAACAGTGTTTGCTTGAAGTACACCACTTCTGTGAGGGCTTGTGGTTGTTTCTTTGTTTTTTTCTTTTTAAGAGGGAAGAAAAAATGCTTAGGATCTGATCTCATGTAGGCTTTCCCAGTCCCTCGACAGAACGCATTTTATATACACCCAAAAGTGAGTAAGTAACTAGAGCAGCCACAACGCTGGAGTCACAAATCACTGTTCTAATCAAAGAGCAGCGTCCCGTTCCGCGGTGTCATCCCATGATGCAGCAGAACAGCCGACATTTCAAACGAATTCCAGGCAAATGTCAGTAAATATTTAATGTACGCTTTCATGTAAATAAGTTCTCACACCTATGTTGGAAGTGTGGGAGAAAGTCTTTGTAAGAGCAGAGAGGAGCTCCCCATGCAGTGATGTGAAAGCTCACCTTCCAGACGTCTCAGCAGAATTACACTTCATTATTTCCTTTAGGACACAGGGCCCGATTCTGGTCCTTGCTAAAGCAAAACTCTAACTGAAGTTGAGGTTTTGTTTTACTTCATAAATTTAAAAAGATCCTCCTGATTTAAAACCCAGTTTGCCGGTTACTGCACCCAACCTCTCTTCCAGTTTGCAAAGGAAAAAGCACTACAATTCATTTTAAAACAATGTGACCTTATAATTTTTTGCAATTTTTGCATGCCTTGATTTTTACATTTATATTACACACTTTTGTTTTGGAGCAATAATTTAAAAATGCAGATTTCTTAGTAAACAGGGGCAAAAAGAGGAACTTCAGAATATGATTTGTTTCAAAATATTAGAACATTAAAAAACTCAAGAGGTGCTATTTTTAATTTGGAATTCACTATAGAATCTAATAAATGAGAGAAGTGAGGCGGAAATAATCATGTATTAATTCTGTGCATTACAAAATCTTTTCAGAAGCTATTATCAGAGCAAGAGGCATTGTGGTTTGGATTCAGGGTGGGAGAAATCCTTTGTGCAACTGAAAGCTATTGTTCCTCTGTGCAGATGAAATTGTACTTGCAAATCTGCCATTCAAGGAGGGAAAAAAGTGCCTAGGCAGAAGAAAAGAATTCTACAAGAAAATCATTATTCTTAAACACAAACTTCACTAAAATAAGTTTTAGTTCATTGGGCTTTTTTTTTTAACAGGATCCTTTGCTGATAGTCGCAGCTACTGACATTAAAACAAACCATAAAGGATACGTGTATTATTTCCTTAATATAGAAAGCTTGAAGAAAGGGATGTGTGTGGGTGTGTATGGAGAGAGAGAGAGATATATAATATGTATTCATATTATGTCTGTGTATGTCTGCTCACCTAAATAAATCTAAACTTAAATTCAGTTGTAGTAA